GAATATACTATTACTGTCATCTATATTGAAAAGTTGACACCCTATAATCAACATAAGCATGTTCTGTTTTTAGCTTTATCCATTTATGTCTCAGTAGATTGAAGGCTTTCTCTGATTTTAATTAAGCCATATTTGCTGAAATATGACATACACGATTAGATGGAACTCAGAATTGTAAAAAAAAACCATAGTTTTTTGTTAAATGAATGCTGTTAACAAATGTCGCGGTTCTCAAACAGTGGTTCTCAAATTTCAACATGTGTCAGATATACCTGGTGGGCTGGCCCATGCCTAGAGTTTATGATTCTGAAGGTCAGGGATGGGGCTAAGAATTTACATTTTTAAGTTCCCAGGTGATGCTGCTGTTTGAGAACTACTGCCTTTACAGAATTCTCCTCCAACAAACAGTCTACACTTGTCCTTATGCTTATTGCAGCCTAAATATGGACCTTAGGAAATATATAGTCTTAGACCATGTATTAACAGACATTTACATGCACTTTATTCATTCATGTATCTGCAGATATGTTTGCCTGTGAAGTTTCATCAGATTTTAAACTGATATTATATACTCTCATAACTGAATGTATGAGATCATGAAACTATATATAATATAAAAGAGCAAAAGAATATTTAGGACTGACATTAGCAAGATGGTGATATAGGAATTTCCAATGTTCATTTCCTCCCAAGACACATCAATTTGAACAACTCTCTGTGCATGAAAATACCTTCACAAGAGTCAGGGATTCCAGGTGAGGTCTTAAAACACCTGGGTGAAGCAAAGAAATAAGTAAAGACACACTGAGGAGAGTAGGAAAAATAGATCCGCATTCCCACCATTCCCCTTCCCCAAGCCCAGGCAGCCCAGCTCAGAAAAAGACACCATCCTCCTGGGAGAAGGAGAGTGGAGTGAGCACCCAACTTCACCACAGACCCCAGAGCTGGCCTGAATACTAAATGGGATTTAGCCAGATGAAGAAGGAGGAAGATTGTTCTAGACAGAGAGATAAACATTTAAGACATCCCAGAAGAAAAAGAGACCTTAAGATGGTTTTTAGAAATACAGTACTTCAGTATAACTTGAACATAGAGTACAGAATAGTACAGAAGAGGGTGATGACATATGCAACAGTGAGATCCATCAGTAGCCTTATAGAGCAGGCAGAGGCAGCTGGAGTTAATAAAGGCAGTATGTGATTTACACTGAGATGTGATATCTGAAATAACCAGACAGGCATCCTAGAAAATCTCTCTGGCTTCAGAACTGAAAGAACGATGGAAAAAAGCCTGTGTTTGCATGACCAGTTTGGACGTTCTTGGTAATTACAAAGAGAAACAGTGGTGGATTGGATTAAAGTATTGTATTGTTTCCTAGGGCTGTGGTAACTATGCCAGAAAATGAGTGGCTTAAAACAGAAAATTATTCTCTCACAGTTCCTTAGACCAGAAGTCCAAAATCAAGGTTTAGGCAGGACTGTGTTCTCTTTGAGGGTTCTGGAAGAGAATCTGTTCCATGCCTTTCTCTCAGCTTCTGGTCTTGCTGGAAATTCTTGGTGCTCCTTGACTTCTAGGTGAATCATTCCAATCTCTGCCTTTGTCATCACATGGTATTCTCCCTGTATCTTCATATCATCTTCCCTCTATGCATGTCCATTTCTGTGTCTCTTCTCCTTTTATAGGGACACCAGTCATACTGGGTTAGGGCCCAGCCTAATGACTTCATGTAACCTAATTATATCTGCAAAGACCCTATTTACAAATAAGGTTACATTTATGCGGTACTGAGTATTAGGACTGCAACATTTCTTTTTTTTTTTTTCCGCAAAAACAAACAAACAAACAAAAAACAACCATAGCACAGAATACCGGAGAACAGCAGAATAATTAGTTGTTAGAGGACTGCAATTGAAATTAAACTTGGAAATAAATATATATGGGAGGGCACATGAAGAACCAGCTCTGAAACCCAGATTTCATTATTGAACAGCTTTGTGGGAATAGATAGTTATCCAGTATCTATCACAACCTGATTGTAGGAATTAGCAGAACTTTTAAGTCAAGATTTTCTTAACCTGGTTGGGTTTGAAGAGCATAATTGAACATCCTTATATTTGTACACAATTTGTGTGTGTGTATGTTCTCTTATTGAACTGTGCTTGGTCCATGTTGAGAGCAGTAGGTAGAGTCCTATGAAAGCTGTTACATAATTAGGGTAGGGATATTGTCGAAGATGTTATCTGCTACATTATAGTTTTTTTTTTTTTTACTGAGAACCCGTAAAACAAATTTATCTCAGGTAATATTACCAAGAATTGTTGTGCTTCTCTTAAACAACTTATTTGCTTAAAACAGTGTGAATTGTATAACTGATTGCACACTTTATCTTTGTCTGGGTACCAGAAAGCTGAGAGGTGAATAGTCATGTCAAGTCAAAGAAAGCCTATAGTAATTTCAACATTTTTTTGTGTTCTAATGTAATTTCTGAATTCACATATTCTCCTACATTCATTGACTCAACTTCTCCATTTATTTACCTTCTCTTGTTTTCATTAATTATTTCATTTATTTATCTAATGAACAAACGATAATTGAGTGCCTATCACGTAACCATGTATTGTACCAGCTCTCTGGATTCAATGATGGATAAACAAGATCTCTGTTCTCAAATATCTCACAGTCTAGAAGGGAAGGTATTCACTTAAGTTAATATTTACAGTATATTGTGAATAAGATGTCAAAAAACAATGATCAAGGTATCAAAAAAATAATGTTGGCACATAAAGGGGAAAAGTTGTCCAACATATCAGAAAATGCTTTCTGAGGAAGAGATAGCTGAGCCCTAAATAGAAATTAGCCAAATAAAAAGTGAAGGGGAGAAAACTCTGATTAAAAAAAAAGAATCAAGGAATAAAAATCTCTACATATGGGCTTCCCTGGTGGCGCAGTGCTTGAGAGTCCGCCTGCCGTTGCAGGAGACGCGGGTTCGTGCCCCGTTTCGGGAAGATCCCACATGCCGCGGAGCGGCTGGGCCCGTGAGCCATGGCCGCTGAGCCTGCGCGTCCGGAGCCTGTGCTCCGCAAATGGGAGAGGCCACAACAGTGAGAGGCCCGCATAACGCAAGAAAAAAAAAAAAAAAAAAAAAAAATCTCTACATAAATGGTGAGACATTCTATGTTTGTGAAGTAGAAGATTCAACATTAAGATGTCAGTTCTTCCCAACTTGATCTATAGATACAATGTAATTTCCATCAAAATCTCAGCAAGTTATTTTGTGGATATTGACTAAGTGATTCTAAAGTTTACATGGATTGGGAAAACACCCAGAATAGCCAACACAAAACTGAAAAAAGAAAGAACAAAGCTGAAGAACTGACACTACCCAACTTCAACACTTACTATAAACTGCTACAGTATTATTACTATTTCTTTCTCTACCTTAAGTAGTTTTGTTGTGCGCATAGGCCGGCAGTGCTCATCTGAAGACTTGAGGGAGCCTTCCACAAATTCTCCAAACTTTTTAAAATCTTTTTTTCTCCCTCTTTCTAATCTCTTTAGCTTCCTACTTTATATTACTCTGACCACTGATCTCTCGCTGTCTTGGTCTCTCAAGACTCCCAGTTCAATCTCATCAAATCAGCTCTATTCCTGCACTAACAGCCTGCAGTTCTCTCAAGGCATTAAGCTGGGATAATCACAGAGCACACCTCATTTGTTTTTCATTACTTAAAAATCACTGTCCTGTATTTTCTGATGTCCAATATCTTTAAAACCATGTTTTATATATTTTTTTCTATTTCCTATAGTTTCAAGTGTGAAAACTAATCAGGTGCTTGCTATTTTATTTAGCTAAAAGTGGAAGTCACTAGGACACTTTTGACAATGAAGAGGATGGTATAAATGTTTATCTTATTACAGTAGAGTATGTTATGTACATCCTTCCCAGAAGCCAAATGAATAGGAATTTATAAAGAAGAAAGTGATCAACATAGTTACATATGTTCATAGTTACATATGTTGATACTGGAAAGTAAGGGGGAATTAGTTAGTGACCAGAGATGCCTGATAAATATAATGTTGGGAATAGAAGCTAGATGATAGTGAATTAATGATTAAATGGGAGTCAATAAATGGAGAAAACAAGTAAAGGTAACATTCTTAAGAAGTTTAGTAGAGCAGTTATGGAAAGGTATTGGATGTTACTAATCTAGGAATTCAGAATCAAAGAAAGGTGCTTTGTTTACTGTTAAAATCTTTGTTGAGATAAAAAGGATAGGGCAGATGTTGGCAAACATCTGTGGATAGGGCAGATGTTGGCAAACCATGGCCTGCAGACTGGCCACCAGCTTCTGTAAGTAAAGCTTTATTGGAACACAGCCATTTCTATTCATTCACATAAAGCTTATGGCTGCTCTGTGCTACAACAACAGAGCTGAATAATTGCGACAGAGATCATATGGCCCCAAAGTCAAAAAATATATATATCTGAACTTTCACAGAAAATTTGCCAACCCCTGAACTAGGAATCCAATATGCAATAAAAGCATATGGTATATTTTGGGTCATCAAGAATTCCAGATTCAGCAGCAGTCGCTATTTAATATATTATACAGGAACAGATAACATATTGATAATGTTAATGGAAATGAAAGCAGTAGTCTTGAATTTTTCATCTTGGATAATGAAAGACTAAAAGTAATTCTCAAAATAAAATTGTATGTTCCATCTTAACATTAGATTAAACAGTTAACATTGCACACGAGTTTGTGAGCAAATTTTTTAATGGTGCAATGAAATTAAACTGTTATTGTTTTAAATGATTTTTCTATTAGTAACTTGGCTTGGACATTAAATTACATATCCTGTAAAAATCTCAATAAAGAAAGATAGTTGGGGTCTATAGTGTTTGATTTTCAGATATATAATATTCTACCATATACAATGTTGATCCAATAACACTGGAATGACTCAGTTTTTAATAATTTTTAAACTTTTTCTAGGCAAAGAAGTCAAGCCCAAGTCTCCACGTATGTTATACATGCCAAAAACAACAAAAAAATCTTAAATGCCTGCATTACTCATCCTCTGATTCTATTGTTGAGTGTGTTTTGCATAAAGTCAAAGGCTTAACTATTTTGTGCAGATAATGTGCTGGTTACCTTACTTGTGTTTCTGAGAATTTGCTATGCTGATATTTTCCTTTATACTTCATTCACTGGGTATGATTTCAATTAACTTCTCATTAAAAATCTTAGTTCATGTTTCCAATTTTTCTCAAAAATTCTTATTGTGATTGATAATGAGGAACCTTTACTTGTCTGTGTATTAATCTGCTGCAATCATAAGAAGAAAATTAATATGGAAGATCAAAGAACAATCATATGTGAAAGAAATATGCATGAGTACAGGAAAGAAATATTTTTACATAATCGTTATTACTAATGTTTACTTGTTTTTAGAGCCACAAGTAAAAAAAGAAGATAAGCCAGGTATGTACATTTCATTCCATATTTATAATGAATAGCATACTTTTTTGCAAATGTGCTCTAGTGCAAAAATTATACTAAAATTTTATTCTTGAACTTTTAAAAATAAAACAAACGTAACATATGTTTAGCTATACTACCTGTTCCTAGAAAAAAAAAAAAACTATTTACACAGTGAAACCACTGAGAAATTTATAAAGTTCAGAAGAAACAAATGACTATTTTTCGCTGATTACTATAGAACACAGACATCCTGTCAGAAAAAAAGCTGCCCAGACTCTTCTATTTTGTGGGGGCTCCTGAGTCAGATGAACATTTCTGAGGGCTATAGCAGGCAGCAAACAGTTTTTTAAAAGAAAACACAGCAATGATTTTCGAAACAGTTAAAATTTTGATTCATGTCTCCCAACTGTATTGGTGTTATGGGGCTGCTGTAATAAAATACCAGAAACTAGGTGGCTAAAAACAGAAATTTATTCTCTCACAGTTCTGAAAACTAGACATTCGAAATCAAAGTGTCAGCAGGGCATGTTTCCCTTGTAAGGTGTAGGGA